GTTCTTGTCAAAGCACAAGGCATGACGAAGACGCAAGATCTTACGCACCACTACACTCATACTACTCATACTTTCGAAATTTTAGCATTGGAAGGCATATTCTGTTCTATAGACGAATCTTCAATAAGAATTTCTTCTATATTCATCGCATGTAATAGACCATCTGATTCATATTCGTACTTTATATACCACTGTAAATCGGATATCGCCAAATCCTGAGTTTTCACAGATATTAAAAAAATGTATAAATAGGAAAATTAAGAAAAAAGTTTTTTTTTTATTAATGGTCAGTTATTACAATTGACAATTGTTATAATAAAGTTAAGTTTAACGACCTATGTTTAATTAAAGTTAAAATTACCTTTTGTATACAATACGCATTTGTCTCATTTGAATTTACTTTTTGATCATGTTATTAATACATTTGCGAAAATTAAAAAATTGAATGAGAAATTAGATAAAAATTCTATTTTTAATTCATAGTTATAAATATCGCTAATATTTGTTGCTGACTTATTCAAGTCTTTTAAAAAACTTGTTGCCAACTGATTACCACGTTAACATTGATCAGGAGGGAAAGGGAAAGGGGAAGGAAAGGGGAAGGGAAAATGAAAGGGGAGGGAAAACGAAGAGGTGCGGGACTTCTTGGTGCGTTCAGATATTGCAATACAAACTGGTACCGATAATCCGATATGTAAAAATGAAAAGCAAATTTTATATGTAATATAGTAATAATTGGCTTGATTAATAAATTATTAAAATTATACTTTTTTTTGTATTTAATTAATAATTTATATCATAAAACATATTGTTAATATGAGTAAAATTAAAATTTTTAAAAACAGCAGGATTTTGGGAGTAATTAAAAAACTAACCAATCAATTTACATCAAAATTTATATCATGTTAGGTTAGGTATTATATTAAATATGTTTGAAATTCATTTTATCCAGATTTTAATTTGACCTCAAATATATGTAATTTATGGTCTTCTTTAGTACATATTTACGTTGTATAAGATCTTGTGATCATTTTTATTTAGAATGATCTACAACTGTGACACCTGCTTTTACGTGAAAAAGATTTTCTTTTTTTTTTCCTTATAATGAAATTAAAAGAAAGGAAAAAGAAATAAAAAATAATTATAAATACACTGTGTATAACGTTATGAATAAATTAGTGAGAACTTTTTTTAATGAAATTATGATTTAAATTGTAAAATTCAACTCTCTCTTTCCTTCAAGTGTATGGTATGTTAATTTACTGCGGAATAATATGAAAAACGTAAGGAAGATGATGAGAGTTTTATCCGACGGATGTGAAATTTCAATTGTTAAGAACGGTGCTTGGCTTGATAAAGATCGTGAATATGTCAAAAAAATTAAAGAAACTCTGACGAATGTATCTAAAGATGCTCTCATGAAGTTCAAACAGGCATATGATAAGAGGATATGAGATATTTATCTTTAACTATAAAGAAGTACTGTTCTGAAAAGCTCGGGTATATATTAGCCAAACTTAGGAGTGATATAACCGAGTATGAAAAGAATATATTAAGTCTTTCTTAGATTATGATAAGACTAAAATCAACATTGTTGACATATTTGACGCGCGGTTTGTTACGAGTATTATAAAATAGCAAAAAAAATTCTGCAAATCCCGGAAAAATTTCTAAGTCGCACCAGAAAGGTGGGATCATACGTTGGATCTTTAGTTAATATCATAAATTGCGTACGTAAGTGTAAAGCATTCTAGTTTCATGACCACTTTGTGAGTTATCATATGATGGGGATGCAAAATGCTGATTTGAGGGTTTATCACCCTGCGAAACTTTGTTCTTAACGGTTGATTGAGCAACCTTTTTTCTTCTGTTTTAGTGGCTGGACATTCAAGACAAACACTATGATCATGCGTTTATCTGTAAGAATAGTAATATTTTTTTGTTACGAATTTGTGAAAATAGGTTCGTGGCATTCTAGGCATAAAAGCAATTCACGAATTCTTCCGGTTAAAATATCCCACTATATCCAACTAGGATTCTCTAAAAGGATTTAATGTACATATAATATGATACATTCTAATGATGAATTTATTTTATTTGTATTATGTTTAAGTAATAAAATCGCACTAACTTCGTGAAAAATAAAATCATATGACGTGAAGAAAATTCACGCACTTTTTGCCAAGTTTATTAATAGTAGTGTAATGTAACACGCAAAAAATAAATATTCCTCAATCCAAGATTTCGGAAGGTACAGTACATGTATAAGTTGAATTTATAAACCTATCAAATAAAACACTGCTAAATTAACCTTTCAAAAGATATTGACGAATCTTGATAAGATCCGTTATCACCGTTTTTCTTCCAGATGGTTCAGCAAGATTTAAACTACTATTTCTACGATTATTTTCCTTTGGCCACCTTTTAATCACGATTGACTGTTTTTTTGGCAGTCCTACAACAATTTCCTTCCAATATGATGCGGGAATTTTAGCTCGGTAAAACGTTACATACGTAGAAATGACACGGAGGGCAAAAATTTCTTGATCAACATAATCCTCAAGCATATTCTCATACCCGCAGGCTAGTATTTCAGCAGCGAGTTGATATTCTCCAAAACCATTCAAGGAGTAGATATGTTTATTTTTAAAGTGTTTATCCTGTTTTAAAAAGCTGTTTGAGTGAATAATAATTAAGATTTCTTAAGAGATATATATCACAAGACAAATGCCGTAATACCTCTACACATATAAAAGCGATGTTTTTCTTATTAACCACAAATTCAGGTGATGCTGACACAGATCCATTAGTTATGAATAGTTTGAGGGGTGGTTCAAGTCTAAAATTTAAAATAAACAAATTTAAAAGAAGTTCACCACACAAACAAAAAAATTTTCTCATAGTTAGGTCACAACCTAACTTTAAAGGGCCAATTATCAAAGTTGACAACACGAACTAGCAGATCGTTTATCAGTGTATCAGTCATGTTCCTGTAGCGGCAGGCGGTATTTCGATAACATCGTGCAGCTTATCAACAAATGTTCTGACGCAGTCATCCTCAATTTCAAGATTTTCAACGTTGAAATATTCATCTTTAAGTATATCACGATCAACCTTTGGGAGAATGTATTTTTCCGGAATGGTGACTAGACAATATTCAAATTATTTATCCGCATTAAATGGATTGTTAACATAATGTCATAATGTAATTTGTACCTTTAATATCTATCCTGTGGTATAACTTCGTTCTTGTCAGCTGGCTCATAACTCACTCGCAGTGCATCAAGATGTTTTTGTTGGAACATAGACGCATATTCAGGGAATATTATACTCGACTCAGGGAAATCGTATGTAGGCTTAGCTTGTTTGAATCTTTTTTGCAATGTTAAGGGAAAGGTTTTTGGCTGGAGAGTACGTAATGCAGGGCGAAAAATTCTTGCAACTAGACCAGACATTTTAAAATATGAATATGTTCTATATCTATGTTCTATATCTTGAAAAAAATTTATTCTGTGCGTTAATATAGGTCTTTATGTCGCACAGGATGACAGGCATTGCATCATTGCACGTAACCTTCGTGACTCACTCTCAATATATTCGATAAAATAGTACTTTTACACTAACGGCTAATATAAATAAAACTATAAAACGTGCATACTATACATCGACAGGAGCTCAGCTGATTGTCTGTCTTTTCATGTTATCGCCTGAATTTCAAGGAGGGGGTTCATTCGTTAATTGACTTAGATCAAGAAAAAATGGACCTTGATCTTTATTTTGTGAAACTTGAGCGGGAGTAGAGATGGTTGAAGTACGACCACAAGGCACTTCGACCAATTCTACGATTTTTTCTTCAGACGGTTTACTTTTGTTAACGATTTTCTCCATGACGACCAATTTCTGTATATTAACAATTTCTTTATTATCTTTATTATGATGTCATGTGATCATCATGTGCCGGTTCGGAATTACGAAAGTTTTGACATGATTAACATATCGATCATGATTAACATATTAACATCATGATTAATGATAGATATATTAGATATTAGACTTGTTAAATATGTTTAAAAGTAATAGAAGGTTATCTCGTAATTGTTCATTGATAAGTTTATTTGTGTGAAATCCTTTATTCGTGGTTGAACGTATATGCCGACGTAAAGTGGATATTTTTCGATATACCATATATAAATGTACCGTTTATTACACATAAACCTTCTGCTTACATAATTAAATAATTATATTTTTAAGCGTTAAAGAACTGATCTACATACGGACAAAAATTTGATCTCGACCTTTTTTTTGTGAACCTTGACTGGAAGTACTTTTCATTGCCGATTTTTCTTCATGATGACTAATTTCTGTATATTATCAAATTCTTTATTATATTTATTATAGTACAATTAATTATCATAAACAACCATTGAGAATAAATTCAATCTTGACCTTTTTTTTTCGTGAACCTTAGATTTTTTTTGTGATGAGTCATTTCTTTATATTAATTAATGTTTTATTCAATACAATTTTTTACACAATTAGTTTGGATTAGCGCAAAATACTATTTCTTTAATAGGGTTAAGAATATGTAAATCATTTATGACCTGCATATTATTTTCTAAAATTGATAAACGATTGATTAATTATAGCTTTGGGGAATTTGTGTCATGCATAAAATGAACTTTAAAATTAGAAAATAAATTTATTAATAATATCTTATTCAATATAACTTAAATATACATTTAAAATAAGTCTACTGTAACTTTAATATAACGTAAATATATATTTAAATTAGCTTTAATATTTATTCAATATAAATTAAATATACATTAAATATAAGTTTACTGGGCTGAAAATTATTAAAACCAGTTGTATTTTATAGAAAATAAATTGTATAAAAAAATAATTATAAAAAGGTCTCTTGTTTTTATCTCATCGCAACTAAGATGATATTTTAATTCATAAATATCATAATAACAAACAATTTGTAAACTCTATTAAAAATGAATAATAGTAATAACTTTATTAATAATGGATTTAATAGTGATTTGCAATCCCAAACAACTGATATTCGCTCAGAAAATTCAGATATTAATTATCATAATGCAAATACTCCTCGCGATTACAATAATGGATATCCTGTGATGAACGATAGTGTATACCCAGCATCTTACACCAATACATCTGCTTACACCGATACACCTGGCAATGTTATTATTTCTGATTTATCTCAATCTTATCCTACCGCTCCTCTGCAATATAATGATCAGAATGCAGCGCAATTTTTTCAAAACAATTCTTCACTATTTAACCCACTTAATATGACTAATTATTCTCAAAATAACCCCTCTGAAATTTTTACATTTGAAATTCCTGGGATCAAAATTATCGTTATACCTACTTTCCCTCCAATGGCTTCCTCTTTTCAAACGAACCATTCTGAAATCTTCACTTTTGATATTCCCGGATCCAAAGTTATCATTATCACACTTTCTTTCCAATAATTAATAGTTGATATTCTCGGGTTCAAATTATCAACTCCGTTCAATTATTCATCGAATATGGTTACTTGAAATATTTTTGTACGTACTAAAATTATCATAATTTATTTTTATTACAGTACCGTACTGCTTAACTGCTTAAGATACCCCTTTTTGACTTAAAATACTCGACTTAATAATATATCAAATTTGTAATATGTAGATTTATTTCATATATTAAATCCTTCTAATACTGTCAGTACGCCCGCCGTGAGCCTAATTAAGTAATGCAACTTTGGCGTTTATTCCTATATTCGCCGTAAATTTAGATGTACGATGAAAATATTTTTTTCATGATTGAGTGCTCTTGTTCAGAATTTTCATCATTTTTCGTCAATACGTTGCAATTATAAAAGTTACATATTTGCAATGCACAATTAGAAAATAATTATTTTATTAATTGTTTTTACATGATTGTTTTACAAATTTTTAACAATTAGATTAAGTTTGAGAAATAAGCGTTAAAGAAATAAAACATTATATTTTAAAAGAAATTTATAAAAAAAAAATGCATTATAAAATTTACTCGCACAATTACAGATTAGGAGTTGATTAACTTCCAATGACATCATCCTTTCCTCCCCTGATTAATCTGTAAGATCTTCAACCTTCAATGCCATCAACCTCGCTTCTTTCGCAAGTTTTTTTCTCTCCTCCTCCGGTAACGTTTTAGGCAATCTGCCACTTGCATTGTGAAATAACAAAGTTTTTCATCATTTATTCCCACTTCAAAATCTTTATTCTCAGTTTTCTCGAACGTGATGGGCAAAGGCTTAGAACCAACAAAGAGAACTTCCACTTCATCACGATCTTCAGGATAAAAAGCGAATGGTGGTTTATTATCAATCGTTTCTGAAGTTTCAAATAAGCGGCAACATAGTAACTCTGATGCTTCATAAATATCAACAGATACTATCTTGTCATCATTGTCATTGTAATTATTAGCTTCATGAGAATAACTGACGACGCTGGAAAACTGTGAAATAACAATCTATTGTTTCACCGTGGACCAGACAGTTAATTGTGATCCTTGTAGGTGGCTTTTTAGGAGTAATGTGAGTTTTTGTAGACTTAGAAGGAGCATTGTGGACCTTGATTTCATCTTTAGAAAAATAGATTTTTTTTTAATACACTCGGTAATATGGTATAAGTAAGCAAATATATTGATAGCATATCCGTATCTTCATAATATCTAAAAATTGTATCTTCACTTGTGCGCTATATAAAACAATGTAGCAATGTTTTAATGTTATATCTTGGAATATGAAACATTTCATAACCTATATAAGAATACGTACCGAATATTATGCAAATTATGTTCCTTCAAATTTATATTTACAGAAATTTGATTATTGCCCAAATGTTTATTAGAAGACAACATCCTTGGGACTCTTTAAAAAATCTTTTTCAGACAAGGCTGTCATATTCTCCAAATTTTCTGATTATTTGCTGCCTCTGGTAAGTATAATGATAAGTAACGATTCTCCAAGGAGAAAATTAAATGTAAGATGCGCTTTATATGGGGCCTGTTACCTCTGAATTCTTTATTAAAAAGTTCCTTGCCTTTACTATATGAAGTAAAATATTTTTCAATTGTATATGTGATAACTTTTATTTTTTCAGTATACAGTAAGTATTTTTTTTTGTGTGTTCTGACTTCTGACCAATTGTATTTAAAAATGTTGTTTCAAGACTCATTAATGTTAAAGTCTTTGTAAATATTTATCTTGGGTAAATGTTTAACTGTCTAGATAAACATGTTTCTATAAAGTATTATTTCACAAGGTTACAGTAAAAATTACAAAGAAATTATTAGATAAAATCAAAAGTAACTCTAATAATTGATAACCAAACTGCTACAAAGCAATATCACCTTGGTGGTTAAATGAAGTATACTGTAATAAGTTTATGATTAATATGATAATATGATTAAACTGCAGTATTCTCATAAACACGTGATTAACAATAAGTTTGACTGCAATGTACTCATAAATAATAAAGATAAAACATGTCATCATGATTAATAATGATTAATAATAGTATAATAAGTTTTTATTTTTTTATTTTTTATATCGCGGTATTTTATAAACATGATTAATTTGATTGTGATGCTTGTGTACTCAAAATTAGAGTGTGTAATTTTACCCCAGTAAATTTCTAATAAATTCCATTATTTTTCCTTCTATTAGAAATAAGTAGATTGTAACTTTGGACCACTCTTATTTATTATGTTATAAAAACTTTTCAATTCATTTAAAAACTTACAATTTTTCAAAATGTCAAAATGAATATAGTACGTTATTATCCCCATCCAGGTCGATCTTTTCCATTTAGTCCAATAATGATGCATAAATTATCATTTTCTCTTAAAATTGATCAAATTTACTGTATATTCTTTTTTTTCTTAAAATTGATCAATCAATTACTCGTTTTTTTTCCCTAAAATTGATCAATAAATTATTCTTTATATTTTCCTGTTTCCTTTAAAGATGTCTCGTGCACGTACTTCAGACGATATTTGGTGGGCAAGGATTTTTGATAGGCTTGACGAGTTCTTACATAACTATCCGAAATTTCGGTAACAGAGAGCAGGTAAGTGTATGAGAGTATTTCTTTATTACTTAAGTACCACTTAATGTTGACTTTGTATGGAATGCAGTTTGCCTCTCCACATTGGCTCTAAAGTAACGATCAAAAATTATAACACCTTCCTTCACAATTACGGATCAAGTGGATACAAGTTCCGGTTTCAATTAAACAGTGACAATACAACTGGCGAAGTGTATATAATTGATATGACTTCAGCTGTACATGGGGATATTATTACCCGACTTCAAAATTTTTTTGAAGTTCCTAATAATGGCGTTGTTGATAATCCCCCAATAGTAGTCACTGGTCAAGTTCGTAAGTGAATATATTCTATTTTGCTTCTTTTATTGAATTTTCAATATTCTCATATAGTTCACTATGTGCCTGGTGGAAATAGGGTTGAAACAGCTCCTAGTGCTTGTGTACGTCCAGATGTGGCATTTGTTCCAAAACCTGCCGCTTCCACTGTAATACCTCGTCCTCCTGGTGATACATGTGTATGTTGAGTTTGATGTGTATTATTGTATTATTTTTTTTTATGTGATTTTTATTATTATGATTCATATAGGGAAATCCACATGCACGGATAATGTGTGAGGTAACTGTAGGCCGAAGTGTTGGTGAATCGGGACGAAAGTGCTTATCTTGGATGCGAGAGCCATATGTCCGTGCTGTCATTAGCATCAAGATTTTAGAACCAAGACTAAACATGCAAGAACCTACAACCGGTTATTTTTACAGAACAATGACGGTATATATTATTTATTGTTCAATAATACAAAGTTAAGCATGTAGTTTCTTATCTGATTAGTTTGTTTTTAAATATTAGGCCAAACTTTACCGTCAAGGAATGCCAGTACAACGTTGGGATTTTGGGAACATTAAAAAATATTCACGTGATCCTATCACTGATCCTCCCGGTTGCAATGCGCCAAACTTGGCAGCTTATCGAATAACTATACCTATAAGTGAAGTATTCTGGGATCCACCGTCTCCTATCCCACCTGGATATACTCCAGCAATTCCCCCAAACGTAGTTGGTATCAATTTTGTTATTGACTTGTACCGGATTCAACGAGTCGCCTTACAAGCTCAAACACCCTGAAATGGGTCTTTATAAATACAAATTAATTAATAAATAAAGTTTACTTCTGTATCTAACCTTATTGCTAAAGTAGTATATCGTAAAAATGAAATAGGATTGTCCGTTTAAAATTTTTTTTAGTGCCTTAGGGTGATATTATGCAAAAATAAGAGTAAAAGTTACAGAAACGTTTTATTAATACCATAACAGCGTGATGATACACTAGAAAATAAATATAAATGATCGGGTCTACAGTACATTATGACGCTTCTATGCAAATATACTGTACATGATTATTCTTTTCGAAATACCCTTGAACTGTTGCCTTTTTATCGCCGGCTCCTTCTCTACCCTATCCTTCAATAACCCAACAATGACCTCCATCACCCGCTTCACGTTTTTACACAACTCTGAATCCTCTTCCAAGGCATACTCGGTAAAGCGTATATTAAGAGGATTTTACTCGTACATGAAATCCCATCCGAGGTAAATATAAAATACCATTCCGTAACGATTCCGTTGTTATAGTCGAAGTCATCCCCAAACGCTTCACCCGATTTACGTTTTCTCTTATTCTTATTCACCTGTAATGCACTTTCACATTGAACCAAATTCTGAGCAAAACTTCATGAAGCTTTCCTCCGTGATGTAAATAAGTCCCTCGATGGCCTTGAATGCGTAATCAACTCAACTAGTATTTTCTTCACCAACAACTTCGAGTTGAGGAGCTAAGGTAAGTTCTTTATCGGTTATTCTTTTGACGATATAAAGCAAAGCATGAAGAATGGCTGAGATATATTCACAGCGCATAGGCAAGTATAGTCCCCATATTTCCCAGTCTGCGCTTTATTTCTTTTAAACATTGTTGCAACTCTTCGTCTTCATCTTCGAGCGGATAGGTTGCTTAGAATTCGAGTGAAAAAAAAGGAGTGCACTTAGAGAGATGTCACTGTATAGGTTTTTATGTGATAAAAGTTCTTGCAACAAACTCTGTACGTATTCGGTTACTATGTTCGAGTTTTCGGAAAAACCGTTAACATTGTTAACAGGTTTTTATATCACGTGATTCCTCTAACTTTGCTTCTTCGGATGCAATATTAAGTGCAGAATTACATTAGCGTTCTCGGATTCGTCCTCGCGGTCTGTTCTGTGAAACAACTTAGAGGAAAACCCGTTAACAATGTTGTGGTTGCTCTGAATGAAATCCGGCATCCTTCACCGAAGAGCCCTCGCAAGTCTAGATTTAAAATCCTCTCTACTCTTCTCCAACTCCTCGATTCTACTCCCATGTTCCTCGTTACACTCCCTGAGTTTCGCCACCTCGCGTTTAAGATCAAAATTCTTAGAAGATAGGTCACTAATCACCCTCTTAAGCTTGTCAATCTTTTCACGATCTATCCAAGCTCGACCTCCAGCTCAGAGATACGCTGTCTCAAAAAATCAAGCTCAGATGGGTTAGTTGCAGTATCACTACCTGTCATGGTTACACATACAGGGTAAAAATATTCAATTTTACGTGATAAATGTAATCAAACTTTATTAATAAAAGAATCGGGACGTTACCCGTGATACATGTAAAAATAAATCGTTGCCGGAAGTGAAACGAGACACGGCCTACAATACATAATAAATGCGAACATATCACATTACTAGTTATAAATACTATGAATATCTTCCTCTATAAGAACGTGGCGAGGTTCTTCAGGTGCAGACGCGGGCGGACTGTCACTGAAATATTGAGAAATCAAGTTCCCTCGATGCATAACTCTGTATCCTACAACCGTAGGATGAAATGCGCGAAGATAAAACGGAACATTTCTGTATTGGTGCGGCAACAGTTGTTGGACCTGAGCGTGAAGATTATTGACCAGTGGGCATGATAAGGTACGTGAAGGTAATAGTTGCCATTTTTCCCAATTCTTTAGCTCCTGCGTCACCAGATATATATATATATGGAGGACAAAAATTTAGAGTTAGAGCTCAGCGAGAGTGGGCAGTCCTCCATTACTATCTTATGAACGCGACAAAAGGCATATACGCACTTTAATTTTTTCGCGGGAAAGTTGAGTCAACTTCTACTCATTGCCGCTTTATATCTTGTTTCTGTGGGGATCGCGGAATAAAAACCGAGGGTTGAAGATAAGGAAGATGATTATCGCTATGATATCAAGAAGCCTTTCAAAGCACATGAAGTCGGAATTTTCAAACCTTTTCACATCTTCCTCGCAAGTCTCAAAGTAGCTTTACGCCTGGCGATCTCGGAATTGCAAAGTCCTCAGCCCTTCATAGCATATGCTTTTGCCGTCAGTATTAACTTATAGGGTAGGTCCTGTGTCGTAACAACGCATTTTTCATATTCCTCTTGCGTTTGTATGGGAAAAAAGATAGAGGAATATGAAAAATTGCTGCGTATTTATTTCTTTCGAAATTGTTCTGTCGCACAAACCCAACCAACTCACATGACTAGCGGTTCTTCCGAGCTGCCCTTTTGGGCGCTAGTGATCGTCTCTCCGGAGTGCAGTAACTACTCGACCTGCTCGTTTCATCTGATGAAACAAATTAATCGGGGGAGACTTCAGACGATTCTGAGACGAGTCCTTTACTTTCCATAATAAAATATAACTCTTCTGCCTGTTTTTCTAACTCGTTCAAAAAATAAATGCTTGCGAATTCAACTGGTTGTCAATCTGACTGAAGAGCTAGTTTTTGTCAAAGAGTTTGAATGGCTCTTGCTCTCGCAACTTGGCTACAATTTTAGAACGATCAAGAACATAGCACCATTCCCTTTTTCTACCACTGCGCAGCTGTTTGCGCTCAATACCTATTTGGGAAAATTCTTTCCAAGTATATTACTAGAAAATGCCTTTTCACCATTACTTTTCACACCATTCAGAGTAATCATAATATAATTCATTGCATCTTGAAAGCCAAAGATTACTCCAAGTAATTAAATTTAAACTCGCGATTTAAAATATATATATACAAGTTTTTATTTGAATAATTTCTTTGGATACAATATAAATACAATAAATACAAGGTTCTTTCAAAATATCATTTTAATATAAATCGCAACAAAACCATAGTTATTTTTTATCTGCGCCTATTGCGGCCATTATGACGACTATGATGTTTGTTCATATCGTCAATTGTTTTGAAAGTTCTTGTACAACCTTTACGAGGACAAGTATAAGGTAAATAACTGAAATGACTTTGATATGAATTTTGCGACTGCTGGTTCGTACCGAATGATGGACCAGAATTTGACCTACCAGATGAAGAATGTTTTGGTGGTGGTCTCTGTGGTCCCTGAATTAAGAAACGAAGTTTTCTGAGTATTAGAATAACCAAGATTTGACCAAATTAAAAGTATCCTACATTTAATGTTAACATTTCCCATAACTTTTGGATTAATTCGGCCATCTTTAATTTACCTATTGAGTATAAAAAATTACTTCAGTTCTTGAATTTTATTATTACTGTATAACAATATTAATTAAAATTTACCGAATTTTTTTTTTAAAAAAAATCGAAAGTTATAATTTTATAATTTTATATTAAAACAATCGAATAAATATAACCATAATTGCTTTTTTCCTATATAGGAATAATTTTCCATGTACAGTGAATTAACATCATCAAACATTTGGCGTAAAAATAAAACTTTCAATCTGTAATGGTTTTTTCCCACTGATTGTTTTTGAATACTGCTCGTGTTACAGCCTAAATTTTGCCAATTCTACTAAAGATAGCAAATATCTTAGAGACCATTCCATTTTCTTTCTGAGATTATTATCCAATATTACAGTAGGAAGCTGTAACATACTTCGAGATGCAGAAGAAAAATTAGTAAAATAATATATCTAGAATAATGGTAAACATATGAATGGTATAAATTTTTTGAATCGCAAAACTCAGTAAATTCTCATTAAAGCTCAAGACGTGATATTGGTTGTACTAAACGCACTATTTTAGAGTTACATTTTTAAATTATGTTTCAGAAGTTAATCCAAACTTGACGAAATAAAAAGTCATACGCGTAGAAGCCTGTAAATATGTTTATTTTTTTTAATCTTAGACTTTTATCAACTTTAGCGGCTTCGAGTATTAATCAAACTTGACCATTTGCAATTAGGTAAATTTATATTCAAAAGCAACATAATAAATTGTAATATGAAATTTGGACACACAAAGTTTAATTATACAAATTTAACAGCAGCACATTAATTTCTGTACATGTATTTTTATTTGAAAATTTTCTATTGTTACAATATAAATATAATATTCTTTCAAAAACTTGCTAATTTTTGTAGGTCACAACAATATAATACTATAGTTATTTTTTTTTATCTACGCTTATTGCCGTTATGACGACTAAAATGTCTATTCATACTATCAATTGTTTCAAAAGTTCTTGTACATCGTCTATGAGGACAAGAGTAAGATGAAGAACTGGTGCGACTTTGAGGTTCATTTTGTGGCTTCTGATTCATATCGGAACGTTTATTATTTGGCACCTTGTTCATACCAGATGATGGACCGGAACGACTTTGAGATTTGTTTTGTGGTCTTTTTGGTGAACCCTGGCTCATAACGGATGAAGGACTAGGACTGAAACTACATTGAGATTGTCTCTGGCTCGTACCGGATGAAGGACTAGGACCGGAGCTCGATGCATATGAGGAGCTATATGTTTGCTTTTTACCAGACTTTTTACCAGACGGTAGTCCGACCATTTTTCTTATCCAATTTAAAACATTATTAATTCGTCTTTTAATCTCTTTCCGTGTCTTCTCCCACCGAGTACGGATTAAGTCGCTCATCCTTGGTTTATCTATAAAAATGACAAAAAACTTTAAATTCTTTCCCGAATTTTTGCATTAAAACACACCAAAACAATTAGAATTACACCTACAAAAAGTCGGATAACGAAAAATTACCAAACTTGAAAAAAAAGTATAAATGAAGAATTGGTCGTTTTATATTGAAAACAAAAACAACATAAATAATCCTTTCCAATATAGGAATCATTTTCCACTTACATTAAATCAAATGTTTGGCGTAAAAATTAAACTTTCAATCTAACAGTTTTTTTCCCACAGATTGTACTTGAACACTGCTTGTGTTACCACAATTCTTTCTTACAAATCATTCCATTTTTCTTTCTGAGAATATCATCCAATATTGTGCTAGGAAGATGTTAACGTAAGAATAATGGTAATTCGCAATACGTTTTTTATTATATATAGATGAATTATCCTCTGGAAAATTCTGATTTTACGTTTTCGTTATACTACACTTTTCCGAAGTCTGAGAGACACTCTCTTTCTATAAGCTTCTGATAAGGGTTGTTGATGAATTCTACTTCACTAGATGTGTTGAAAAGTATATCTTGAAATTAGATGGAAATCAAGAATTTCTGGAATGATTGCAAGACTCGGTAAGTTCTCATTAAAGCGCAAGGCATATTGAAGACGTCTGATCTTTTAGATTATTGGTTGTACTAAACGTTAGAACTACAACAATGTTACAATTATACTTTAATTAAGTCATACGCATAGAGCTTGTAAATATATTTATTTGTTTTCACCTTCAGTACTTATCAACTTTAACTGCTTAACGTGAATATCAATCATTTAATCAAATTAAAATCGATCGAGCACTCAATCTTTAGATGCTGACCAATTGTAATTAACTATATATATATTCTTTGATTCAAATAAAATTGTGGCACAATGTTTAATTTTTCGATTGTATATGTATTGAATAAATATAAAAGCTAAGTATTGATAACCCATTTATAATACTACTAGATCAGTAAATACTAATACATATATATCTACGTTATATTAAAGTTACAGTTGACTTATTGTTATATTGAATAGATAAAATTAAAGTTATAATAAAGTTATATAATAAATTTATTTTCAAAGCTGTAAATAAGTCGTAAAGTAATCTATAAACTCTATTTAAGAAATAGTAGTAGTGCTCTAATCCAAACTAATTGTAAATACTGAAATAATCTATTATTATGATTCAAATGTAAAAAATGTTCTGTCAGTAATAAACATTAAACAGTCTTGAAGAAATAAAAATTTCATTAATTATTAAGAAAATTACATTTAACATATAAAATGTCTTGCTCAAAATTATCTAATATGGATAACCATCATACATTGCAACAATAAAAGAATTGGACTATTTAACTAACAATTTGATTATTCAAAATTTAACACAAAAGGATGACTTCAATAATCAAATTAATATATTTGGAACACCACAAAGATGTCGTATGCGTTGATCACGCAGATAAAATATTTATAACTAATGGAAAATGTGTAAATATAATTGATATTTATCATACCATAGATCGTGCAAGTGCACAGAAAATAATAATGGATATAAAATGCATAGATAAAGATATACAGTATCAACATGTATATTATGATTATCTATTAAGAGAAAAAAATATGATAATTATTGCATAATACTTGACAATTATCATTTTGTAATGATTTATTACATTAATATTATAATTCAAAAACCTGTCAATATTCATGTTAACATACTGCATGTATATGTCAACATTATGATTACATGGATGGTATAATGATTGTAAAATCATGTCAAAAAAATTGGCCTTGACAGCAAAGTAAGTCAATTAACGAATGAATCCTTGAAATTCAGGTGATAACATGACAATCGGGGGGAAACATTATTACACATTAAGAGTATTTATTTCACACAAAATGTTTGATGATGTTAACATACTTTAATTCTATTTAAGTGGAAAATTATTCGGGAAAAAAAAATATATTTATTTCAATATAAATTGATTAATTCATCATTTATAATTTCACTTTTTTAGAAAATTTGCCGCATCATGTAACAACCCTTTCCCGGCAACGTTTTTTATTGTATAACGAAGTACTATTTTTATATACTGAGAGCGGTCACGACGGTCACGTGCAATGATGCAATGTCTGTCAGCCTGTGCGACATAAAACCTATATTAACGCCCAGAGAAATAAATTTTTTTCAAGAGGGACTTCCTATATTGTTTTCGAACATATTCATATTTTAAAATGTCTGACCTAGTTGCGAGAATTTTTCACCCTGCATTACGTACTCTCCCTAAATATGCGTCTATGTTCCAACAAGAACATCTTGATGCACTGCGAGTGAGTTATGAGCCAGCTAACAAACACGAAGTTATACGTCACCTGATATTAAAGGCACAAATTACATTATGACATTATGTTAACAATCAATTTAAAGCGGATAAATAATTTGAATGTTGTCTAGTCACCATTCCGGAAAAATACATTCTCCCAAAGGTTGATTTTGATATACTTAAAGATGAATATTTCAACGTTGAAAGTCTTGAAATTGAGGATGACTGCGTCAGAACATTTGTTGATAAGCTGCACGATGTTATCGAAATACCGCCTGCCGCTACAGGAACAAGCGATTCTATGACTGATACACTGATAAACGATCTGCTAGTTCGTGTTGTCAACTTTGATAATTGGCCCTTTAAAGTTAAGTTGTGACCTAACTACGAGAAAATTTTTTTGTTTGTGTGGTGAACTTCTTTTAAATTTGTTTATTTTAAATTTTAGACTTGAACCACCCCTCAAACTATTCATAACTAATGGATCTGTGTCAGCATCACCTGAATTTGTGGTTAATAAGAAAAACATCGCTTTTATATGTGTAGAGGTATTATGGATTTGTCTTGTGATATATATATCTTAAGAAATCTTAATTATTATTCACTCAAACAGCTTTTTAAAACAAGATAAACACTTTAAACATATCTACTCCTTGAATGGTTTTGGAGAATGTCAACTCGCTGCTGAAATACTAGCTTGCGGGTATGAGAATATGCTTGAGGATTATGTTGATCAAGAAATTTTTACCCTCCGTGTCATTTTTACATATGTAACGTTTTACCGAGCCGAAATTCCCGCATCATATTGAAAGAAAATTGTTGTAGAACCGCCAAAAAGGCAGTCAATTGTGATTAAAAGGTGGCCAAAGGAAAATCGTAGAAATAGAAGAAAAGCGGTGATAACGGATCTTATCAAGATTCGTCAATATCTTTTGAAAGATTAATTTAGCAGTGTTTTATTTCAGTAATGTGTGATAGGTNAACATACTGCATGTATATGTCAACATTATGATTACATGGATGGTATAATGATTGTAAAATCATGTCAAAAAAATTGGCCTTGACAGCAAAGTAAGTCAATTAACGAATGAATCCTTGAAATTCAGGTGATAACATGACAATCGGGGGGAAACATTATTACACATTAAGAGTATTTATTTCACACAAAATGTTTGATGATGTTAACATACTTTAATTCTATTTAAGTGGAAAATTATTCGGGAAAAAAAAATATATTTATTTCAATATAAATTGATTAATTCATCATTTATAATTTCACTTTTTTAGAAAATTTGCCGCATCATGTAACAACCCTTTCCCGGCAACGTTTTTTATTGTATAACGAAGTACTATTTTTATATACTGAGAGCGGTCACGACGGTCACGTGCAATGATGCAATGTCTGTCAGCCTGTGCGACATAAAACCTATATTAACGCCCAGAGAAATAAATTTTTTTCAAGAGGGACTTCCTATATTGTTTTCGAACATATTCATATTTTAAAATGTCTGACCTAGTTGCGAGAATTTTTCACCCTGCATTACGTACTCTCCCTAAATATGCGTCTATGTTCCAACAAGAACATCTTGATGCACTGCGAGTGAGTTATGAGCCAGCTAACAAACACGAAGTTATACGTCACCTGATATTAAAGGCACAAATTACATTATGACATTATGTTAACAATCAATTTAAAGCGGATAAATAATTTGAATGTTGTCTAGTCACCATTCCGGAAAAATACATTCTCCCAAAGGTTGATTTTGATATACTTAAAGATGAATATTTCAACGTTGAAAGTCTTGAAATTGAGGATGACTGCGTCAGAACATTTGTTGATAAGCTGCACGATGTTATCGAAATACCGCCTGCCGCTACAGGAACAAGCGATTCTATGACTGATACACTGATAAACGATCTGCTAGTTCGTGTTGTCAACTTTGATAATTGGCCCTTTAAAGTTAAGTTGTGACCTAACTATGAGAAAATTTTTTTGTTTGTGTGGTGAACTTCTTTTAAATTTGTTTATTTTAAATTTTAGACTTGAACCACCCCTCAAACTATTCATAACTAATGGATCTGTGTCAGCATCACCTGAATTTGTGGTTAATAAGAAAAACATCGCTTTTATATGTGTAGAGGTATTATGGATTTGTCTTGTGATATATATATCTTAAGAAATCTTAATTATTATTCACTCAAACAGCTTTTTAAAACAAGATAAACACTTTAAACATATCTACTCCTTGAATGGTTTTGGAGAATGTCAACTCGCTGCTGAAATACTAGCTTGCGGGTATGAGAATATGCTTGAGGATTATGTTGATCAAGAAATTTTTACCCTCCGTGTCATTTTTACATATGTAACGTTTTACCGAGCCGAAATTCCCGCATCATATTGAAAGAAAATTGTTGTAGAACCGCCAAAAAGGCAGTCAATTGTGATTAAAAGGTGGCCAAAGGAAAATCGTAGAAATAGAAGAAAAGCGGTGATAACGGATCTTATCAAGATTCGTCAATATCTTTTGAAAGATTAATTTAGCAGTGTTTTATTTCAGTAATGTGTGATAGGTATATAAATTCAACATATACATATACCTTCCGAATCGATCTTGGATTGAGGAAGATTTATTTTTTGCGTGTTACATCACACCACTATTAATAAACTTGGCAAAAAGTGTGAGAATTTTCTTCACGGGGTGGGATCACATGATTTTATTTTCACGAAATAGTGCAATTTTATTCAAATAAAATAAATTCATCATTAGAATGGATCATATTATATGTACTACATTAAATGGGTAAAAACAAGAAATTTAACAAGAATTGGGTTAATAATAGAGAAAATTGTTTGAAAAAAGAACAATAGTAGTAATTGTATTTTTTTCATGATTTTATGTGCTATGCAGTAAATACCTCCTTTCAGAAGGAATATGAAAAATAAACAAATCTGAAAAAAAATTATATGTGCACATGTGTGCACATGTGCGCATAAAGCATTTTTTTTTTTGTGCACAATCAAAAAATTTGTCATATTTTTATTAATAATTTTTTAAGGCAAATAAAAATTAAAATGTGCACATGAATTTTATACGATTCAGTTTACTACGAAACTGTAATGCAAGTGTTGATTTTGTTTACTTATGGCTTTTACGACTTTTAATGCTCATATTGTGCTTTACATGGAGCAGTTTTGCTATTTTTAAAAAAGTTTTAATGAATAAAATACCCAATAAGAGCTTATATAACTCCTGACTTTTAAAAGAATTATTATCCCTATTAAGTCATCTAGACCATATGTGACGCATCAAATATGTAAAATTTAATCGACTTGCCCTTAATTAAATAATAATGGATTTTTAAAAAACGCTTGTTCCTTCAGATGTTTCTTTAAGTTCTCTAATAAATCAGCTTTTAAATATATATAATCCTCTCAAAAATAATCCTCTCAATATAATCCCCTCAAAAATAATTCTCTTAAATATAATCCTCTCGAATTTAATCCTCTCGAATACAACCTAATGAACAAAAATAGAGACAAAAACAAAGCCCAAGGTTTGTAGAGTATGTATTAGTTTTTCAATCTGATCAAGTCTACTAACGACCAGTATTATTATTTAAAAACGCAGGAGATACGGAGGATGAGATTACAGAGATCGTAGCGCAAAAGAATGGTTTGTCTTAGCAAAACATTAGTTTATCCGGTCTATTATGTTAATAAAAAAAAACACTTTCTCTACTTTTTCAATGAAAAAAAAAAAAATAACTGGCCACTTAAATCTCTACTGTTACATATATACTGTATAATGTATAATAATATAAAATATTGTGAAATCCCCCCGTAAGATGCACTAAGTTTACTAACGACCAGCACTCTTATTTCAGTTATTAATGTTGAAGAAGAAATTGCTGGTCCGAAAGCTGATCTGAAGTTGAGTCCAGAAAAAGTATTATTATACAATGGTTTAGATGATGCAGGAAAAGTTATGTTTTTGGATATACTTAGGAGATTGGAAGAAGAAAAGAAAGAAGGAAGAGAGGAAGGAAGAGAGGAAGGAAGGAAGGAAGAGCGTAAAAGAGGCGTATGTATATATTTATTATCGTGACTTTACTATGCTTTGTATGCTTTGCTAAAATTATAATAGTTTTTTCGACGTTTTTTTTCATCTTTAAAATAGATATTCTACGTAAACTTAGTTATTAGTCTTGAAGGAAGTTACTCAACCATCTTGATAAAAAATATTAACCATAATTGCTGCTGCGCTGATCAATGTGCTTAATGCGAAGACACAAGACGCAAATATAATTAAATATGGAACTTTAGTATTAAATTCACTTGTTCATGGAGTTCAACTTTTTTGGAGCCGTAAGAGAGAGTTCTAATAAGAACTTAATATATTATGGTTGTACACTCCTGCCCTTATTGCCTTATTTATATTGGTAAGCAATTAGAAGACGGACGTACCTTGTCAGATTATCGTATCCACAAAGAGTACACACTTCATCTTGTACTTAGACTACGTGGAGGAATGTTTGTAGAAACCAGTGGCCGCAAAGAATTTGATGCATTGCCAGCACTCACGCACTATATGTTAACACCTGAAGAACGTCTACAAAATGGAATCCATGCCGGGATTACTTGTAATTATTGTGGTAAAAGTGAATGGAAAGGGACGAGGTTAATATAAAATTTATTTTAATAAGCTTTGAATGTCCTTTTTCCTCATTAATACTTAATTTTTAATTTTTTACAGATTTAAATGTTCGGAATGTCCTGATTATGACTTGTGCTTTGATTGTATTAAAACGCCCAACTTGCTTCATAATGTGCAACATCATTTTCTGAAAATCTTGAATCCCTTAGACCCAAAGGAATTTCCAAAAGGTCCCCCTGTTGCCTCTGTTACTATCTCCCCAATACTACCAGACACAAAAGAGAAATTGTTAACTCTTCTACGTGAAGAAGAGCGTCGGAGGTTATCACCTGAAATACAAAAAAATATTATGAAGTTGGGAATGATCCAACGTGTGGCAAAGACTGGATGGATGTTACTGATGAGATGCAGCATGAATTAGTTCGAGAGTTTGGATACTCAGATGAGGCAGTACAATTATTGCGACGTGCACCACAACTTTATCCAGGTAAAAAAGTTTTCTCATCTTTCTTCCTCAACTTTTTTTTTACAATAGTTGATCTTATGTATTTACCATCGTCTAGATGATCCTGAATTCCGTACAACTCAAGTATATGTTCGCAACAATATTGCTAATGCAGCGAACTTATTTGAACTTTATTCAAATAATCATAATTTATTATACGTAATTATACTTTAATAGTAACTTACATTTTATATTAGGGTATAAAATTTAAACGTACCCCCATGGCGTAAGTCAAAAATGAAGTTTTATACCCTTTTTTCCATAATAAATAAAGTTGTAGAGGAGGCAAAAATACACATTCGGTACTCCAGCCACAATATTTTTAGGAACATTTCTTGTTACTATTCCTCCAACTGTCTCATTAGCGTGGCAGGAGTTGGTGCATTAATTTCTAATCTTTCAAGAGATTTTTTTTTAGCTGAATTACACATGTACTATGAGTGCCATAATAAGCAAAAAATTAATTAATACCCGACTATACCTGTCTCTTATACACATCTAGATGTGTATAAGAGACAGCATGTACATGAGTGCCATAATAAGCAAAAAATTAATTAATACCCGACTATACTGGGCAGATATTTTTACAATATTGTAAAATTGTTAAAGCATGTTCACGGTATTCTAAATACATTTTTTATATACAATTATTTTTTAAAAGATAAAATACTTTTACGCCATACAATTAGAAAAAAATAATTTTTTTTTGCAATTATTTATTAATAAATATCAATATAATTCAGCTTTTAATTACAAATACATATATATTTATTGCATAAAAAATTTTTTTAGACAAATGTAAAGAGTTGATACTGTGTTCCAAATAAATATTTATTAACTACATTGAATCATTCCGAATTGAATGACATTTCATATTTATTCTTCCAAATTTTCTCACCAAAATTTTACGTCTTTAAATAAATATATAATTTTTTTTTTATCAAAATAATGGTCTGAAGTATAAAAAATTCGGTATAACTGTACATTGCATTATAGTTGTGTAATAATCTTTCGTGAATAAAAAATAAAGAAAAATAAAAGAATGCCATACCGTTTAAGATAGTCCGATCCGAATACCTGGGTTTTAAAAATTGTATAATACTTCCGTTCTGACAGTATTAGAAGGATTAAATATATGAAAATTTAAAATATGTTGATTTTATGAAATTAAATAATTCTACATATTACAAATTTGATATATTATTAAGTTGAGTACTTTAAGTCAAAAAGGGTATCTTAAGCAGTGCGGTACTGTAATAAAAATAAATTATGATAATTTTAGTACAAAAATATTTCAAGTCGATGAATAATTGAACAGAGTTGATAATTTTTGAACCATTAGAGGGAAAGTAAGTATAACGATAATTTTGACCCCAGAAATTTCAAATGTAAAGATTTCAGAGGGTTAATTTGAGAATATTGAGTGTATTGAGTGAGTTAAATAGTGAAGAATTGTTTGAAAAAATTGCGTTGCATTCTGATCATTATATTGCGGAGGATACTAGGAGGCAGTAGGATAAGATTGAGATAAATCAGAAATAATAACATTGCCAGGTGTATCGGGTGTCGTTCATCGCAGGATATCCATTATTGTAACGCGAGGAGTATTTGCATTATGGTAATTAATATCTAAATTTTCTGAGCGAATATCAGTTGTTTACGATTGCAAATCACTATAAATTACTATTATCCATTTTTAATAGAGTTTATAAATTATGTCTATTATTTATGAATTAAATATCTTAGTTGCGATGAGATATCGGAAAAATGAAGAAATAGTCACCTGACTTAACTAAAATCGAAATAAACAATCTCTTACAGGTTCGATGTTTCGGTAATTGGGTTATATAGAATGTGAGAGGGGATATGTTTTTCAGAAATTATAGAAAAGCGAAGTATCTAAAAGGAACTCGAGTATCTGTTATATATGACTCGTCCCTTTAACGAACATCCATTACTAAAGGTTGAAATTCATTGAAACATAATTAATTTTACTGAATTATTTGATTTATTATAAACACAGTGTATAAAAAAAAAACTATAATTTTTTAACGAAGAATTCGCTGATCATCAAAGTCACTACGCCACAAAAAAATTAAAAATCGATTCTGGTAAAAAAATTTGAGAGATGACCATTGCTTTCCAAAAAATATATATATATTTTTTTTCTTTCATAAAATGAAATATTAAAAAGAAAAATAGTTTTTTCTTTTGAGAAATAATTTACCTAAATTTGATTTGTAGTAATTGTATTTTTTCATGATTTTATGTGCTAAACAGTAAATACCCCCTTTCGGAAGGAAGATGAAAAACAAACAAAAGTGTAAAAAATTATATGTGCACATGTGCACATAGAGCACTTTTTTTGTGCACAATCAAAAAATTTGTCACATGTTTATTAATATTTTTTTAAGAAATTTTGTGCACATTAAATTGTGCACATAAATATTAAAATGTGCACATGAATTTTATACACTGTGACGATTTGTTTACTTATGGCTTTTACGGCTTTTAATACTCAAATCGTAGCAGTTTACCCAATAAGAGCCTATATAACTCCCGACTGTGTCAGACCACATGTGACGCATCAAATATGTATGACAAGATCATGACTGATATATTGATATATTTAAATAACAATGGATTTTTTTTTAAATAAAAAAAACTCTTGTTCCTTCAGATGTTTCTTTAAATTCTCTAATAAATCAGCTTCTAATATAATCCTCTCAAAAATAATCCTCTCAAAAATAATTCTCTTAAATATAATCCACTCGAATATAATCCTAATTCTCTCGAATTTACTACTGAAATTGATCTTCCAAGTAAAAAAAGTCCTCTCGAATTTAATCCTCTCGAATACAACCTAATGAACGCAAATAGAAGCAAAAGCAGAGCCCAAGGTTTGTAGAGTATGTATTAGTTTATCAATCTGATCAAGTCTACTAACGACCAGTATTATTATTTTAGAAACCGCTGGAAATACAGAAGATGAGATTACAGAAATCGGAGCGCAAAAGAATGGTTTGTCTTAGCAAACATTAGTTTATCCGGTCTAACCAAGTTTACTAACGACCAGCACCTTATTTCAGTTATTAATATTGATGAAGAAGAAATTGTTCCGAAGTTGAGTCCAGCCCAAGGTTTGTAGAGTATGTATTAGTTTTTCAATCTGATCAAGTCTACTAACGACCAGTATTATTATTTTAAAAACCACAGGAGGTACAAAAGATGGTTTGTCTTAGCAAACATTAGTTTATCCGGTCTAATCAAGTTTACTAACGACAGCACTCTTATTTCAGTTATTAATGATAAAGATGATCTGAAATTGAGTCCAGAACAAGGATTATTATACAATAGTTTAGATGACGCAGGAAGAGTTGCATTATTGGATATACTTAAGAAAGAAAGAAACGAAGGAAAGGAAGAAGGCAGGGAAGAAGGCAGGGAAGCAGGAAGGGAAGAAGGAATGAGGGTAGAGCGTAGAAGAGGAGTATGTTTATTTTCTATTTTATTATCGTGACTTTACTATGCTTTACTAAATTATAATAGTTTTTTCGACGTTTTTTTTCATCTTTAAAATAGAGATTTTACGTAAACTTAGTTATTGGTTTTTTAACCATAGTTGCTGCTGCACTGATCCAAGACGAAACTATAATTAAATATAAAACTTTATTATTAAATACACTTGTTCATGGAGTTCAACTTTTTTGGGCAGGAGTGGAAGCCATAAGAGAGAGTTCTAATAAGAACTTAAAATATTATATTTGTACACTCCTGCCCTTATTATCCGGAATATTCGTTGTTACTATTCTTTCAACTACCTCTAATCTTTTAAGAGATTATTTTTTGTAGCCGCAGGTGATCAAATAAACTTCTCAGACGCCCCAAAAAAAATTCTGCGTAAATCATGTGACCATCACATATCACATGATTGTGATTAAAGAGTTACGTAATTTACATAAATAATAATTTATTAAACTTTTATTAAAGTTTCGCTTTTCCACTTTCAATATGAATATTGTAACTACTAGTAATTTACAAAGATGTAAAAATGTCGAAAAAATTTACCTCTAGAATTTGCAATGCTTTCTTTTATTATGTAATAAATTGATTACCAATTGAATTCTTTTTATCGATCGTATTAAAAGTGACTTAGATTTAATTGAAGGTAGAGCTTAGGGTTAGGTTAGGGTTAGTTGCATAGGGAGTTTTAAAATTTGCAAGTAATCATATTGTAAATATCACGTGTTATATCAATCATGTGATTGCGATGATGATGCGCAATTATATAAATTAGCATGTAAATTAGTTAGAAAAAGTGTAAAGAATTAACTTAATTTCCTATTTGCGTCATCAATATAAATTATTTCGTCATTAAATTTTATAATATTTATTATTTAATTAGGCTCTTTACAAAAACTAATTGCTTCATTGCAGAAACTTGAAATTTTTTAATGTATCATTAAGCTACTTTAACTATGAATCTTAAAAGTAACGTGACGGTCAAATTTTTTTAGTATATCTTCCCAATGATGAAATGACATTTGGATGATATCGATGTGGTCATGTAACGTTAATTTGCATGACATTTTAATTATACTGGGCAAATATTTTTACAATATTGTGTACGGTGTTCTAAATACATTTTTTATATACAATTATTTTTACAATTAGAAAAAAATAATTCTTTTTGCAATTATTTATTAATATAATTCAGCTTTTAATTACAAATACATATTTATTGCATAAAAAAAATTTTTAGACAAATGTAAAGAGTTGATACTGTGGTTCCAAATAAATATTTATTCACTACATTGAATCATTCCGAATTTTTTGGTTGTAGAATGACATTTCATACCACCAAAATTTTACGTCTTTAAATAAATATATATTTTTTTTAATCAAAATATTATAAAAAATTCAGTATAACTGTACATTGCATTATAGACATAGTTGTGTTTTCGTGAATAAAAAATAAAAGAATGCCATACCGGATAGTCCGATCCGGGTATAATACAAAATACTCGGTTTTATAAATTGTATAATACTCGGGGTACATCACTCACGGCGGGCGTACATGACAGTATTAGAAGGATTTAATATATGAAAATTTTAAATTTGATTTATAATAACCATTAAAATATGCTGATTTTATGAAATTAAATAATCTACATATTACAAATTTGATATATTATTAGTTCGAGTATTTTTTGGATCCGGGAATATCAAAAGTAAATATTTCAGAATGGTTCGTTTGAGAAGAGGAAGCCATTGGAGAGAAAGTAGGTATAATGATAATTTTGACCCCAGGAATTTCAAATGTAAAGATTTCAGAGGGGTTAATTTGAAGAATTGTTTTGAAAAAATTACGTTGCATACTGATGTTTGTTATTATATATCTATTATTTATGAATTAAATATATTAGTTGCGATGAGATATCGGAAAAATGAAGAAATAGTCACCTGACTTAACTGGATCTTACATAAACAATCTCTTATAGGTTCGATGTTTCGGTAATTGGGTTATATAGAATGTGAGAGAGGATATGTTTTTCAGAAATTATATAAAAGCGAAGTATCTAAAAGGAACTCGAGTATCTGTTATATATGATTCGTCTCTTTAACGAACATCCATTACTAAAGGTTGAAATTCATTAAACATAATTAATTTTACTGAATTATTTGTTTTATTATAAACACAGTGTATAAAATAATTAATTTTTAACGAAAAGAATTCGCTGATCATCAAAGTCACTACGCCATAAAAAATTAAAAATTGATTCTGGTAAAAAAATTGAAGATATGACCATGCTTTCCAAAAAAAAAAAAAATATTTTTTTTTCATTCATAAAATGAAAATATTAAAAAGAAAAATAGTTTTTCTTTTGAGAAATAATTTACCTAAATTTGGTTTTGTATTGATAATTTATTTTCTTTGATAAGATTGATAATGAGAGACCCATACTTCATTTGGGTTGATTTGATATCTTTAATTTTTTTTATCTATATAAAAGATCATGTTCCTGAAATGTAAACATTCTCATTATTTTTATATTAATGAAATTGTCATTTAGAACCTGCTAGAATCATCAAAGAGATTGATGAGATTTTTTGATAGTTTGCCTTTTTGTTTATGTTGAAAAAAAAAATTTTAGTCATTTTTTTAGTAAAATCAAAAAAAAAATTTCTTGGCATGTTTCACACGACTTAAAAATTTAAAATTCTTTACAGTAACGACACAAAAATAGTTACTTTGATCCCTATTAATTGTTCCTTTTACAGAATTTAATTACCCAAATAAGTTGCATTCAATGCGACTTCAATGGTCATTTGTTATTCTTGTGTTCGATTTGGAATTCTATTTAGAAGCCTAAAATAAACTAATGAAACCTCTTTTCCATACTTCGTTTAAAAACGAAAAAGGAAATCAGAATTTAATTTACACGTGACTTCCTGGCCGGAATTATGCATTAATGCATTATTAAGTGATAGATGATTAACGCGACACTCGTGATGATCGCATCATGGGTTCAGAACTATATAAATAAAATTATTTTACTGTAAAAAAATCGGTATCTTGCAATGTTTACGTGAGAGAATGTTTCATGATAATCTATTTTATGAGATAATACTTTTGGGGGAGAACCGGGGAGATCGTATATTGTGTCGCGTGACAAATTTTTTTGAAATTATTTCCTCCAATTTGGTTTTATATTACTAAAAAGATTATTCTTTTATAATTTTTATATTATAAATTATAATGATTATAAAAGTTTTCTTTATTATATAAGTAATTTTTATTTTATGCGCGCAAAAAATATTTTAATCGATACATCCCATTTTTCTTTCGAATTCCGCATATGAATAAATTACTAATTTTGGACCAGCACAAACTTTTTTTTAATAGATTCTTACACGTAAAAAATGTGTGAGTAAAAATATTTTGATCATTTATCAATTTTTAATGAGTCCATTTAAAGTATAATTAATGAGTTGATAACAAGGTGTTTTTTTTTTTGTGTAAATTAGATAGATATTTCATCGATAATACTTGTTTCATTTTATTATAAATAGACAAAGAATAATCTTTCGACCCAAGGGCTCTTTCTCGGTATTGGTTCACAAACTTTCATATTTAATCGCGGAGGGACCTCAGGTGTAATAGATACATCATAATGTATAATATTGTTTTCGGCATTGTTTTTACTTCAAATAAGTTTGTTCAAACTTTAATCGGTCTTCCTTCACGGCCAATGCTTGGTCTTCTCACAAACGGTGCAATTTCCATGATTGATGAAGAAAAAAAAATTAATTTTTATGAGATTTGGAAAGAAAAATCAATTTTCCTAATTCCTTAACACTTGGACTAAAAACTTGAAGGCGGAACTGGTTAAACCTTGGGAACAATAATTTGAAATAACTGCTCGATAGCTCCCGGATATTCGACAGCTGCCAAAACCAAAGACAACTACGGCTGGACCGGGTTACGGATTATGGAAAGAATCCCTATATTACAGATTCACAGTATATTAAGAAAATTTATAATTTATGAGGGCTTGCAAAAAAATTCATGAGGGTTTTTAAAAAACAATTAAGCTTGTTAATCCACAATTTTTTTATGGGGGTACTTTGGAAGGTCTCTTTCTTTCTCTTGTAAGGGTTTCTCTCAATAGTACTTTAAGGAATCTTTTATTTTAAGAAAGCGAAACTTAATAAAGTTTTTTTAATATATGAATGATTTACTTTTATTTATATACAATGTATTACTTTTGTTCTTTACTTTAAACTTTGATGTGAAATTTGCTAATCTTCAATTTCAGAATGTTCTGACCCTGCTTTATTGAGTGAGTACTGAGTAGCATATTGGGCAATGTAAAATAAAAAAAAAAGTTGTTTCGTTTTATATTCCAATATCTGCGTAACATATACATGGTATAAGAGCGTGGTACCTGATGGTATAAGAACGATACATTTGCTCTCAAATATCGTTTTAAAAGATTTGTACGCGACAGAACCCTACAAATTCACCTTATTAATCTAACAGAAAAAATTTTAATAATGAAACATTTCAATCCAGAACTTACCTTACTACATGACTATTTCGTTCCCTTTTTATTGATATTAGGGTTGTGTTGCTTGACAAACCAAAATCGATGTCTATAAAAATTTTAAACCAATTTAAAGTAAATCTCAGGATTTATCACTCATTTCTTCTTTCAATTGGTCTTTTTTTTAACGAGATTTATGAATGGAATTGGATTTGCGTGTATAATTTTTTTGATAAAGTAGTTTATATGGGAAAATGTAAAAAAAAGTCGAGATAGGAAAATAAGTTATATCAATATCGGATTTTTTGAATATTGTAATCATTAAATTATAAACATTATTCTAGGCCGAATTAATCCAAAAGTTATGGGAAATGTTAAATGTAGGATACTTTTAATTTGGTCAAATCTTGATTATTCTATTACTCGGAAAGCTTCGTTTCTTAATTCAGGGACCACAGGGACCACCGTCAAAACATTCTTCATCTGGTAGGTCAAATTCTGGTCCATCATTCGGTACGAATAAATGCATATCAAAGTCATTTCTGTTATTCTCGTAAAGGTTGTACAAGGACTTTTAAAACAATTGACGATATGAACAAATATCATAGTCGTCATAATGGCCGCAATAGGCGCAGATAAAAAATAACTATGGTTTTGTTGCGAGTTATGATAAATTTTATATTATAATGAGAACCTTGTATTTATTGTATTTATATTGTATCCAAAGAAATTATTCAAATAAAAACTTGTACATATATATTACGAAATTTAATGAATCACGTGTTTAAATTTAATTAAGCTTTTGTCAATTCTATTACAATTTTTATTATAGTGTTTTTGAACAAAGAATTATGCAGTATCTAGAGATTGAGTGCTCGATTATTTTTGACAAAATCCGATTTGTGAGGTTGTGTGATTTTTCTTATTGAAAATGACAAAATGTTTTTACACGAATTTTTAGCAGAATTTTTTTTTTTTTGAATCATCAAAATTATCAAGAGTTTTCAATACGTATTATATATTGGAAAATCAATTTTTCTACAAAATTATTGAGGCTGCATCGTCTATTGATCAAAGCTCATCGAATGGTAGTACACGAGCACCGCAGTCAGTTTTACTACTAATCACGTGCTTATGAAATACCGCAGTC